CATTCAGCTTGTCCATCATGACCCCCAGCTCCTTTTCTACAAAGTTACTCCCTATGCAGGCAGTTCCCAACCTGTCCCACTGCATGGGGTTATGCCAGCCCAGATGCAGGGCTTTGTATTTGCCTTTGCTGAACTTCATGACAGGGAAAACCAGCTCATTTTTCTAGTCTGACCAGGTCCATCGGAGTGGCAGCCCTGCCCTCCCGATGTATCAGCCGCTCCACCTAATTTGGTATCACCCACAGACTTGCTGAGGGGTCACTATCCCATTGTCCTGGTTATTACATCAGCCATGCCAAGAATCCAAGTTGCTCCTTCCAGAGATATGCAGAGGTTTCAAATTTTGTTTTACAAGAATGCAGGAGTTGCATTGCTAAGTCTCTTTTTCTGGAGATATAAAAATAAAAAGTAGCCCTAGGTTCCACAAGAAGTAGGCCCTGGGCCTTTTTTTGAGTGCAAATGGTGAACTTGACTTAGAGAGTATAAGAAATCTCCTGGAAGGCAGAGATGACTGTTGAAACTTAGGAGCTAAGCAAGCCAGAAATTATTTATAGAGTCCTTCCCCAGAATCTTGCAGTCTGTGGCTTTGCTCAAAGACAGACAGAGTATTTCCATACCATCAAGAGGGACAGAGTTGCATCAGTACATACACGGCACTCCAGGAACATACTTGAGGTCTTGCTATTTGCCTGGGTGATCGTACGTGCAGGATGGACTTGGTGCTATAGCCATTACACTGCAGGAGCAGAGGGTGCAATCTGGGACGGAACAAAACAAAACCAAAAAAAGACAGATGAAAAAAGAAAACTGTAGGAGTAATTTAGCTCCTCTGAATACATTATAACTGTAAACCAGTTTCAAGAACATTTATGTAATAACAACCTTGCCAGCATTCTGTTATGGGGAGCTGAGCACCAGGACGGTGTTTTTGCAGAATGGACAGCAAGATGTTGCTGCCAAAGGGCATAAAAAGGGCAACACTGCAAACAGGGTTCACAGAATTCTCTCAGAATGCTACTCACAGGCTTACTATTACCAAAAATGTTCTGAGTTGTACTACGGGCTGGTCTAGCCTTAAATCCAGGTTGGATTTTGTTCTGTATGCTAGAACTAAATTTGAGATAATACTCTTAGCAGAATATTTTCTGATCTTGCACATGGAGCCTGTCTCTCCAAATCCTGCTTTGTAACTCTCTTTTAGTTTTTGGAACAGCATCCCCAGCAGCACAAGCTGAAGAAAACATTGGTTAACAGGAAGCATTGGTTGTGAAGAGGAACTAAGAGAAGATAGAAAGATGCAAAATAAAAGAAAGCTGTCCAAGCCTCTAGAAATGGGAACAAAGGCACTGAATCTTTCCAAACAAATACTTGAATAGTAAGGCTGTTGGGTTTTTTTAATTAAGACAATGATAATAAAGAAGTTGATTGTGTACTACTCGGATGTTCAGGATCTGAAGGAACATACACTTGTAAGGGATGTATTCCAGGCCAAACCTGTGTCCCAATCCAATGTTTAAGAAAATGCAAGGTAACTTAGGGACGTTTGCCAAGTAGAGCAGCCAAGTAAATACAGTCAGTTGACTTAGTGCTGGGGAGCAGCTCTTCAGTTGTAAGTGTCCTGGTACCTTCATGTGTTTTCTTTCCTGTTCTCCTCCAGGAGTCAGTACCACAGAAGAACCCAATTTGGGACTTAAGCTGGGAGGCAGAACACCAAGGTGCAGTTCCCCAGTTCTGCTGCAGCCATCATGTAACACCTTGAGCAAATCACCCTGACTCCATTCCCATCTCCAATGATGGGAAAATAGTTTCTTTCACCGTTTTTTATTAGCTCATTAATTCTGTGGGGCAGCAAATGTGTCTTATAGCTTAATTGTCACATGGTTAATGCAAAAGGATCGTAATCCTGTTGGACTTTGCTTAGATACCTGCAGACCCTAATACTTCTATACTCACCATCATTACTACAGATTTTCGTAACAGCTGAATGCACAGCATATATAAGTTTGACCAAGGTCAGTGCTTTTTCATTTCTCCATAAAAATAACTGCTCTTACTAAATAAAACATGTTAATGGAACCAAATTCTTCTATTAGTAGAAAATACAGCTTTTGCAACAGTAAATACACTGGTACACTGCTGTCAGAATCACTGCCTTCACCTGCTCACAGGGCAGGGGGCAACTTGCACTTATGATAACCATATTGTAGAGCATTCTAGTGCTTTCCATCAACATATTAACACTTTTATTAATATACTCCATCATCTTCCTGCACATACAGAACGTGCAGTCACTGCAAAACCAGGCTTTTACGACTAACAACTAACTTAACAAATTTGCCTGTAATATTGTTATGCTGTTAGAATGTTCGTCAGTACAACTGTGTGTCCTAATTATATTAATCTGTTCATCAGATTTAAAAACAACTTAATTAAAGCAACCACTGAGCACATACAACCTTGTTCAAGAAAGTATATTTGAAAAGCAAATGCTTCTCCCCGCCCCTGCACATCTCCAGTTGACAAAAAGAAAGAAGTCATCAGTAAGAAGGAAAGTGCCATTTGTCACAGATGGCTTCCTTAGACCGGTTACCAAGTGCTTCAGCTAAAAGAAAAGGAACACTACAAAAAGCAAGTATGACAGGCCTGCACTGCCACGTAAGTTTTTATTTAAAAAATTGAAGGGAAAGTTAAATCTCATTTTAAAAAGTCGCTGTATCATTGAAGCCATATTAACTTCCAATCTGTTGCTAGTGTATTTTCTTAGCTGTATGCCATGGCAATCAACTGGACAACCTAACTCCCCCTCAATAAAAGTACTTCCTTCTATCAGTTTTCTTCTCCCCATCCCAGTTTCACTAGGTGTACTCCTTAGAGCTTTTATTGCAGCTCACAGGAAACAGAAGTCCTGACTTGCACTCCTTACTTCATCAGCTCATACAGTTTTTGTCACTGTGCATCTTTGTCTACTTTCTAATAGTCTGAACGTTTCAGTCTCACTTGATTTTCTAATGTTTTTAAGATGACTTTCCATCCGTCAGAGAATAACTTCTCAACAGCACTGGTCCAACATCAAGCGCACTACAACATTGCGTCAGTCTCCTGAAGAACAAACATGAAATGTCATTCCTGTTGCTCCCATGGGTACTGTTCTCATTGTCATATCCAATGGCATGCTGGATGGGATACTGTTCAACTGGAAGTTTCTCTAAACGGCTGCTGAACACTATTAAAATGTTCTAATAGGTGTGACTTATTGACCGGAAGAGTCAGTAAACAAATGCAGTGTAAGTGACAGTGTGAAAATAGACTACCAGAAATTAGCAATGTGACTCCATGAGTAACAGGAAAATTGCTATGACCCAGTTGATGACAGTAGCAACAAAATTTAATTATATTTTTTTAAAAATCTATCCCAAATAGGTGGGTTTTATATTATGACTTGTACATTACGAAGATTTCCCAGGGTCGTTGACATTTATGGTTGCCACAGATCCTATTTTGCTACTGTTCCAGTTCAGCTCTGTTGGGAAACGCAGTAGCAGCTGTGGTCCACTATGTTCGCAGCACCAAGAGACAGGGGTGGAAGGAGGAGCTGGCAGCGGATCATAGCGTGTTGGATTAGAAGCTCTTTGGTGTTGATGAGGAGGAAGCCTCCGCAGTCCCGGCCCTGTGCAGAATGCATGCACTCAGGCTGGGAACCCAGCTTGCTTCTGGTGTGTCAAGGTCATGCCATGATCCCTTCTGCCCGTTCAAGTACCGGGCACAGTGCTGGCTGGGCTACCACCACCATTCCTGGGGGTCGACGTGTAGCCACACAAAGGGGTGTCAGGTGTGCAAAGGCACCAAGATCCACCTTAAACTGATGGACTTCCACACTGATCCCATGCTACCCTAACTTCAGTGCTAACATCTTATGGAGCATGGATTAATGAGAGTGTAACAAATCTGTCTGTGCATGCTTTTTGTCTTCTGGAAAGGGACCACATACCATTTTCTACTTCTGATTAAAGAGGAATGATATAATGCAGAAATTGGAGCACTTTAATGCAAAAGTAGAATTATCCTTCAGTATGCACATGAAAAAATGTTTTATTTCTTTGATGAAAATACCATTCACTAAAAAGCCAAACCTACCATCTGTTCAGTGCAATAATAAAAGGTATGATTAAATACTTGGAACATGCGAGCAAGGAAAAGGTCACATAAAAGGAAGTGGTGGTATCTGTGCATTGAGAGGGCAATGAGACTGTGACTGCAATATGGCATCGAGTTGTGGGTTTTGCAACATAAGACAGGAGTTAGAAAAGAAACACAAAACCTATGTGAAGATTACTTGATGTACAAAATACTCAGTATAAGACACTACTTTGGTTGAGGAAAGGTTAAAAAGTTGTTTCGATCAAGCTACAAATATCGATGAGAAGTTTGGGAGTTAGTTGTTCTTTAGTCCTCCAAGAAAAGCAGCAACTGGGAGATGAAGTTTGGCAAATTCAGAACACAGGTACAGCCCACGTACTCAGCACCGGTTATAATTAACCCCTAGCATAACTGACAGCACAGTTCACTGCCACCTTAACTCCCCACATCTACATTCAATTACCTCGGAAGTGCCGCAATGCAAAGAGAAGTCACAGCTCCCAGAGCAGGAAAGTCCTGCGGGAGCAGAGCCCAGGCCCCTCGCAGGAGCCTAGCAGCCAGGGTGCCGGGTTTCCTGCCCCGGGGACCCGTTCCAGCTCCTCCCCCCGACCGGACAGCACGGCGGGGGACCCGGCTCTGCGCAAAGCGGCCTTTATAGCCGGCGCCGAGCCGCCCGCTCACACCGCACCGCTCCCCGCCTGCCCCGGGAGCTGCCCATGGGCCCTCGCCGTCCGGCGCTGCCGCTGCCG